GCTGGGCGTACTCGAGGATGGCGTCGGCGTTGGTGGCCCGACGCGCACGGTACATTGCGATTTGTGCGTGTCGTGCCGCGGTTGCCTTGGTGAACTCGGGGTCAAGCCGAGCGTTGCGGTCCCGAAGAAGCGCTTCGCGATCGAGGTCGGCCGCCTCTCCCGCTTCCTGTCGAACCCGCGGGGACAGGGCCAACAACCGCTGGTCGTCGGTCATGCAGTCCCACAGGGTTGAACAAACCCAACGAGGGCGCTGCGGGGGTGCCGACGAGGTCGGGGGTGCCGCCGAAGCGGGGAGGGCTGCCGAAACAGCGGGGGCCGCCGAAACATCGGGGGCTGCCGAAACAGCGGGGGCTGCCGAAGCGGGAGGGGCTGCCGAAGCAGGGGGGGCTGCCGAAGCAGCGGGGGCCGCCGAAGCGGGGGGGGCTGCCGAAGCAGGAGGAGCTGCCGAAGCAGCGGGGGTCGCCGAAGCCGTGGGAAGCGGGATCAGGGGGACCGGCGACGCCGGGCGGGGGGTAGTCGAAGACCTCTCGCCGGCGCCCGTGGTCGTTGCCCGGATCGCAGAGGCGGAGACGGCTCCACCAGCGAGGGAGGTCGTCTCAGGGTTGGCCACAAGCTGGGTGGCGACCATGGTAGATTGACGGTGAAGATCGCGGAGACGACGGTGATCGTTTTCTGCCATTTTAAGAAGGGTTAAGGCAGGGGAAGTGGCGGCATGTTCGTGTGAGGGAAAGAGCATGGGGGGGGGTGAAGGCACCGCATTATGCAAAATAACAGGTGCATCGGCAGAGGGTTCTGCAGGAGTAACCGAAGTTACCGCTAAAGGAGCCGAGGCCGCAACTAGCGTATGAACAGCAGTAGACACGGCAGACATAGAGTCGGCTGTGGGTACACGTGCAGCAGTGAGGGATGCAGTCCGAGACGAAACTACTGGCACGGTAACTGCTGGAATAATAATGGTCGAAAGTGTACGCCGGACGCCCATAGAGCGAACGCGTAGAATGGCCATCATTAAAGGCAAAGGAAGGCGGAGCTACAGGGATATATGCAGCAGTGGCAGTCGAAACTGCAGGCATCGATGTAGCTGCTGAAGCCAATGCATTTGAAACAGTCGAAACTGGGGCTGGCAGCGGGGAAGCTACGGGGAAAAAGGTAGCGGAAGCGGGATATGCTTCAGACTTACGGAGAGCTACTGCAGCAGATGGTGGGGCAGCAACCGAAAATAAAGTTGAAGTGGTCGGAACTATAGAAATAGGTGCATCACAATCAAGGGAAGCAGCCACGGCAGTCGAAACTACAGGAGCAGATGCATCGGGTGCGGTCGAAACCACTGAGACGGTTGCATTGGAAGCGATCGGAACCGCAAAGGCAGTTGAAATCACCGGAACAGATGCACGTGGGGCAGTCAAATCCAAAGGCACAGGTGCCACTGAAACGGATGCACGACGGTCAAAAAGCCGTTGGGCACGAGCGGCGGCGTGTGAGCGACTGCTACGCGAAGAAAAAGGAGGAATGGTCGGCACAGTGTAATCGAAATGCAGTGTGCTGCCAACAACAGAGCCATGAGGCAAGCGTGGCACTACAGAGCCAGTATGGTCAAAGCCAATGTCTGCCCGAACAACAGAAGGCTCAGCGGCGGTGGAGGTAAGGGGAAAAGTGGAATCAGCAACATGTGGTTCCGGCGGGAAAACTTGGGACACACCACCAGCGACTGTAAAAACAGAAGGCTGGGTACTCGAAAGGACAGAGGTGGAAGCCGAAGCTTCTGTTGTGGGTGCTGGCAATTTGAGTAGCACAGCACCCACGGGATTAGAGCCAGTAGAAGCCGTGGAGGCGAACTCCTCCCGTCGGCGTTGAGCGCGAAGCTCTGACAGACGGGTGGCTTCTACGATGGGGTCAGCAGCGCTCGCGCCATCCGGAGACGGCAACAGCGACGATTGGGGATCGTCGGCTGTCGGCCCGAAAGCCGAGGTACTGTGTGGAGACACCAGTGAGCGAAAACACTCTGAGGGCTTTGGACTGGCCGAAGCCGAGTCCGAGGAACCGACGCTAAGTTGAGACATACCGATCAGCGAGGCAAAGCTAAGTTGTGCGGAGACGAAAGCGGAGAAAGCTGCGTGCAGCAGGCTCGAGTCGCCCAAACGCAAACCCCAGAAAGCACGCTGTACGAATATGCCGACAACGCCAAGTGTAAGTCCTGCAGACGACGCCAAGTGTAAAGATATTCACGCGCGGTGCAATCTGGGAGACCCTTGAAGACGAACTCACTTGTTATTAACTCGTGTGGAATAGCAGTAGCTGTTGCCAAGGGAAGGTAGAGGACTGACTAGGATGGGGCCAGGATCAGCTGTTAAAGCAGGGGCTACTAGATCGTGTCCCCTGTTTTGTCCTTCCGTGGGGAGTTGCATCTCCCGCACTTTTCTCTGGGCATTAGCCCGCACTACCGTTTGTACTTTCCTACACATTCAAATCCCATAACACGAGGCCTTGCGTGGTTGGCTTATGGTCTATGCGAGAGGGTTCCGACTTGCTAGGGCTAGGATCGTCCTTGANTTGCCAAGGGAAGGTAGAGGACTGACTAGGATGGGGCCAGGATCAGCTGTTAAAGCAGGGGCTACTAGATCGTGTCCCCTGTTTTGTCCTTCCGTGGGGAGTTGCATCTCCCGCACTTTTCTCTGGGCATTAGCCCGCACTACCGTTTGTACTTTCCTACACATTCAAATCCCATAACACGAGGCCTTGCGTGGTTGGCTTATGGTCTATGCGAGAGGGTTCCGACTTGCTAGGGCTAGGATCGTCCTTGAAAAGGTCGGGGTCCGCCATGTAAGGTGGTCGTCCTTGGACTTCTCAAGGTACCATACCATGCAAGGGAGTATCCAGCCACTCCCTAACGTCACATTTCAAAAGGGTGGTACCGCCGAACAGAATTTACACACCCCGCCACACCACGTTCTTTATAGGCGTACACGTCTGACGGCACGTCAAAAACGAGACGCTGTGGGTGGCGCTGGTGGACAAGCTTAAACTACCACCGACCCCCGAGGGGCTGCCGGCAGGAGCGATGCTTGCTTGTATATACTACTATAATTGTTACCGCGCGCAAAAATTATTGAACTTTTCACACGGGCCGTGTCGACATCGAGAGAAAAACCGTCACAATAACCAATAACGTCCTTCTCCGCTCTCTCTTTATCTATGGTGAGGAGATGGGGGCACGCGGCCGTGTATCTCATGACGAACAAATATATGCCCCGCCGGCTACATGTGTACATGGGCCAAACCAAAACACTGTTTTCGATACGTACAAAGTACACACCGGGCATGCGGTGGGGTCAAATATGAGCACCCCTCAAACGCGAAGTGTTGACACGAATGGCCCGACAGCAAGAAGAATTATGTACCTGTTTTGTGAGAAAAAAATCGGGAAAATGTCCTCGCGCATGACATGCTCTTCCAAGCGAGCTACATACATAAAGTGAGACAGCAGGGTACTTTCATCAGGTTCAGCAAAAAAAAAAAAACGTCACTCGGCCGCTCACCCAAAATTAGTTGATCCGTGCTACCCCATGTAGGCCGGCGAAACGAGCAGTCCGCCCAACCCTCTCCCCCTCTCCCTCGAGCGCCTGCACACATTCCCCACGCTGCACGCCGGCGCCCCATCGCTCCATCAACTCCATCCATCCCAAATGCTCAAGCAAACTCTACCTCCTCTCCGCGTGTGTCCGCGTGTATCCGGCGCATGCACATGACTATAACTCTTTCCAATTCGCCGCAACAATTTTATTTTTCGTCTACCCCAACAACCTCATCGAATATGTAGATCTCCAGTGGCAAAGTGCACACTCTCTCCGCAGGGTTACCGCTGTACCTGCTGTCGGAACGTCGAGCGCAGGGGGGTGTTACTGTAGGTCTCTCATCATTTTAGGGCAGGGAAAGTTGGGAACACGTTTGGGCTCTGCGAACACAACCGTACGGCCTAAATGTTTACAAAACTTTAGGTTCAACGTCAAGCATTTATCTGTATGTCCCTGGGATAAAGTTCAAGACGAAAGACTCTCGGTTGATGCTGTGGTGGAATTCATTCAAGAGAAAGCGGTCGCACGGCCCGTCTCCCGGCGACGCCAGCCTGAGCGTGTGTCGCCACACTTGGCGTCCGCTCCGACCACATCGTTCAGGTCTACACATCCATTCACGATCGGCAGGCGGATGCTCGGGCCCTGGACAGCGATGGTACATGTGCACATGCCACCTGATTGCGGCTGAAGGGAACACCACCGGGCGCCGTCTCCCTCGCAGGACCAAGACCGGTGCAATGTGACGGGGTCGGGACTACGTTGGTTCCCAACACCGTCGGAGACGTAGTCGAACGCCAGCATCCACGATGTCAACGGGCGGTCGTGGGATCCTTGGCGCGTGTTCCCTCTGTGCTCGAAGAAGTAGAGGATGCGCGCCAACGAAAGGCCCGACGCCTGAGCGGGTCCATCATGTACATCGTCGTCGAAGGGCTGCTCCTTGAAGAATTCCACGTCCTCTCCACATCCCTCGCCCAGCCACCAATCCCCACCGGGTGCCGTTCGAGTCGACGCTCTGACATCGCCCCCTTTCCACCGGCCAAGGCCGCTACTTGCCCGGAGAGGAGCGCCGTGCTTGAACCGCGTGCAAACGATATCCTTGTCGTCTAGCGTGGACGAGTTCAGCCAGCAGTCGGCACAGCGCGGTTCTTCGCAGAACGCACCCCCATCCGCACGCCCCCCCCCCCCCCCCCCATTGTAGGGATGCGAGGTCAATGGTCTAACGACTACGGCATGCACGACTATGAGTACACCCCCTCCCCCCCCATCCGCACGACCGCAGCTGCTGAAGTATGTGTTGAACGCCCCGATCAACGTCTTTTCATCGGGACGAAGAGGGCCCATGGCAATGCGGGACTCCCACCCGCCTCCGCCGGCGTCGTTGCCCCTAGGCGACCCGGCCTCCCACAGCACGCTTGTCCAGGTTGCGGCGCCGGGGAACTGAGCAGCACGTTGAGCAGCCGTTGGGGTACTAGCGGCGCGAGCGTCCGTCGGGGCGGAAGACAACCCCCCCGGCAAAACATTACCCAACGACCGCAGCACCGCAGAGCAGCCGGAGCCAGCCTTGACGGTCTCCACTACATATTTCTACAACCTGCGGTCGAATCTGGTGACCTCCCACGGGATTTCTTCAGCAAGAGCATCGATGGCGAGGTCCATGTTGAACCGGCGCGCGTAGTGCGCCGCGGCGTTGCGGCCGCTGTTAGAATGGTTGACCTTCTTGCTCCTTTGGTGCGCCGGTTCGCCCGTGCTGGCATCAGCCATGTGGCCTGCCAACGCGTATATGTACGGATACAACAAAACATATCCACACCGCATCACATAGGAGAAACGCAAAAAGGGGGGGGGATCGGCGTTCCACACGGATCGGCGATCAAATAACATTGCACGTACAATAATATAGAATATGGCGGGTCGTTTTACTCGGACAGTCTCAAGAACCTGAGATAAACTTCTTCATAAATTCTCTCAACTCACCATGGCCTTCAATGGCCTGGACGTAGTGCAGAGCAGAGTGCACGGTTGTCCTCACGTCTCCCCTCCCTAGCAATTCCGCATACAGCCCCACCTGCACCACAACACCCCCCACCAAAAAAAAGGAAAGGCCATTTTGCAATGAAAACTGATGCGCACTTGAATGACATGATGAGAAATGTGCTTGTTGCTGGCGCGAGGACAATGTACCAGCAGAAACTTTGGGTTTATATTTTATTTGTCGTACACCCGGACCTGGGAGGACGATACTGAAAACATATTTTNTATGTAGCAGCAGAAACTTCGGGTTTATATATTATTTGTGGTACACCCGGACCTGGGAGGACGAGGTTTAAAACATATTTTTGTGATCTACCGTCGCCCTCGTTTAGTTCATGGGAGGGGGGGGGGGGTGCAACAAACATGAAATGGGCACATTTTTGGAGGAGCAATGGTTACAAGATACGCCGCGAGGAAAACGCCAAGAAGTTCGTGGGGATATTTGTTCGAGCTTTCGAGAAATAAATCCGGAAGTTCCACCAAAGCAAAGGGTCTTGAACAACAAGCGGTAACAAATCAACGAGATTATATTCGGGGCGGAGGTGTGAGGTCTCTATGCGAAAAAGGAACCATTAAATTCAATCGGAATTCCGAAGTGTCAAGCCTAGGCATTCTCTGGTAAATATATTGTAGCAAGGACGATGGGCTAGGTTCAAAGGTGGGTAGACAAAACTTGCACGGCAATCTGTCAGACACGGTACGAAATTGTCTCTGAAGGCCCTCACCGTGTCCCGGGCATGCTCCATGAGCTTCTTGCGTTCAGCCTTATCGAAGGACGGCGAACGAACTGCGAACGTCAGAGCAGACGCCACTTGCAACAGCTTCCGCAGTTGCGCCAACACGGCCTGCTCTCCTCCCCATGTGTCTTTCAAGGCTTGTAGCTCTCGCGGCTTCACGTACTCTTTCTGCGCAAGATGGACGCGAAAAGGTGTACAAAAAAAAAAGGTGTTTGGATCTCGGTCGTTGTCCACATAATCTCCACAACCCCACGGTAGCTCATCATAACGCACCCGTCGATATTATCGTATATTTGCCGGGGGCCGCGGGCATAACATTTTAATCGTTTACTGGTAAGCAGTATTTTTTCGAGAACCATGGCATATCGCATGAACCCGCAAAACAGCCCGCGACCTCACGTGTAGGCAATAGACAATAATATTACCAGTGCTGTCGCATCATGGAGGACACAACGGGACACAAGAAGCAGGATCGATCCCAATAGCCATTTGTCACTACACTTCAGGGAGGAATAGTTGGTGCATATGTCTTTCAATGGTGTTGTAGCTGGTAGGTACAGCGTGCTGCCTTGCCGTACGATGGAGGAGATCACTCCCCGGCCAGCTTCGTTCAGGAGGGCCAGAAAAAAAAACTGCACCAACGCCTGCGCCCCCTGCGGTAAACAGTGTACAGGTCGAGCACAAAAAGGCGGGGGCGCATTGGGAAAATCAACATGATATGCATTCATACTATACTGCAATCTCGCTGTTTTTTCAAGGGGTGCTTGTACGGTGGTATAATCAGATGAGGTTTCCCACGAGACACAACATCCAGGCCGCTGACACAAAACACATTACATGTGCCCACATACATGCGTCAAACTTACATGTTCCAACAACGTTGTCTACTTTTGGACGCGAGGATGTCAGGCTACACATGCATTATGTGCCCCATTGGATGAGTTTCACATACAGTACTGGGCCTGCTATAGTGCCGGTATGTGCCCAGAGATAATATCGGCACTATTGAGGGCACCGGCACTAATCAGAATAGTGCCTCATTTTTTATTTTTTATTTTTTATTTTTTGCCTTCCGACAATTGCAGATGTACCTCAGAAACTTTCACTTGATGTCTCATACTCGACATGAATATTAAACCAATACGAAGTACAACAACATATGTAGGACTTGTTTCTACTGTCACTTACATCGTAAAAATATCTCCTCTTCAACTTGAAATAAAACCAATGACAATCCTCATGGTATCCTGTATGCGTTCGCAAGCTTGCTAAAATACTACTGCGTTGATGATGTCCTCTTGTAAAAGCTGAAATCCAACAAATGCTTTGATCCGTGCTACATCTCCGTGTTGGAAAAGCCCGTTCTGCTCCGTTCGTGATAACATCTTACCCTATTTTACGCAAATCTGTCACATCTACTCTCAAACAAGACGAGGGAGGTGCTCCAGAGACTCCATGAACTTTTCAAGTTGTATCTTGTTAATCGCCTTGCTCAGTTTGTGCTGGGCTTTCCTCGGCGTATTAGATTCCCCATCGTGTGCTGCCAGTTCTGCAACGGTGGGCTGACGCCTTCCGGTTTCTCCTGTCGGTTCTAAGGCCCACTCAACCCATGACGGGGGAAGGATCCCCTTCAGAATCTCCACCGATATTGCATGCTCCTGGTTGAGTTCTTTGATAGCGTCCCCCATCCGCTCCACCAACACGGTTCCCGGTATCCGAACTCTCACCGACTCTCCCAATGGACCCCGTAACGCGGCTATAACCGCAGGAAGGGTGCCGACTAGGTTGCCCAGAGAAGCTGAGAACCTTCGCATAACGNCGAAGGGTGCCGACTAGGTTTGCCCAGAGAAGCTGAGAACCTTCGCATAACGGCTGCTGGTAATCCTAGTCCTCCGGCTCCTGTCGACAGGCGCGCCTGGGCTTGTTGATAGGGCTTTAACTTGAAGCGGTCAGGCTGGCAGTCGTCTTGGAAGAACTCTTCTTCGACTTCGGTATCTCTGAGCCCCATCGTTGCCTCTAGGACCCACATCACCATATTGTCCAGGCGTTCACAAGCCCCCCTCACTAGCTTGTGATTGATGCCTCTCTCGAGGATCGCTGTGTCAGCGATTGTGATGTGACGAAGTGAGCCACCTGTTTGTCTGGCATGCGCACCAGCATGCGAGCAAGCTTGTCTGCACCCCCTTCAGTTATCACTTTCATTGCGATATCCTCGACGTAGGCATCCGTCCCAATGGGGACTCCCACAACTGTGATGCCCTCCTCCGCAATCGGTAGGCCTGCATCGCCAAGTAGCCTCCTTTCTGCTGGCGTCACGTCGTGCCCTGGTGGGGGAAGCGCTGAGCTCTTCCCCCTGTTGACGATGATGCCCACAGCTTCNCGTCACGTCGTGCCCTGGTGGTGCCTCAATAGTGCCGATTCGGCACTGTTGAGGAGATATTTGATTTCATGCTGTGGCGCTCATGCATTGCGGGGCTAACAGAGTACGAAATGGATCAAACTTAGTGAAGGTCTTTTTTTTTTTTTGCCTTCCGACAATTGCAGATGTACCTCAGAAAACTTTCACTTAATGCCTCATACTCGACATGAATATTAAACCAATACGAAGTACAACAACATACGTAGGACTTATTTCTACTGTCATTTACATCGTAAAAATACCTCCTCTTCAACTTGAAATAAAACCAATGACAATCCTCATGGTATCCTATNCCTCATACTCGACATGAATATTAAACCAATACGAAGTACAACAACATACGTAGGACTTATTTCTACTGTCATTTACATCGTAAAAATACCTCCTCTTCAACTTGAAATAAAACCAATGACAATCCTCATGGTATCCTATATGCGTTCGTAAGCTTGCTAAAATACTACTGCGTTGATGATGTCCTCTTGTAAAAGCTGAAATCCAACAAATGCTTTGATCCATGCTACATCTCCGTGTTGGAAAAACCCTCTCTTCTCCGTTCATGATAACATCTTACCCTATTCTACGCAAATCTGTCACATCTATCGTGGGCGTGACATCCTTTCTCGCGACAAGTATGGTTCCCCCCTGTCGCACACACAGAGGGTGAGTTGTAAAAAATATTTACTTGCATGTTGCACCGTTATTTTCTGCCTGCCTCAGCACATGATGAACTGTACTGCACACACACGCTGAACTTTCGAAACTGCTGTTGACGGCAAGATGCTTGTAAAGTTCCCGTTCGTACAGAGTGCACGTAGCTATATCTCAGCCCTAGAGCCCCTCCTTCGATGTTGCACGATACAGAAGACAAAACAGAAAAAGAAACACGACAGGAAGCGCACTGTAAGAAAACAAAAATCAATACTACTGCAGTATGAGACATTAAGTGAAATTTTTCTGAGGTACATCTGCAATTGTCGGAAGGCAAAAAAAAATATACTACTGCACTACAGTTGTATCTCCCCCCCAAACTACGTCGCGACACTGGAGTGTCTGCCTGGCGTACCCGCTTCGATGTTGCAAGAAAAAAAAATAAAAACTACAAGTACACGACAGGAAGCGAACCGCAAGAAAAAGAAACAACCATGAACTCTACGTCGCGACAAATCCTCTAATGTCTGTCTGGCGCACCCGCCTAGCGGAATGCGCTGCGATCATCGACATCTTCGCTTTCGTTAGGTAGAACGCCGCGTCTCCGTTGCCACTGTCCTCTGCTGCCACTTCCAGGGCGCCGAAGTGAGACGACAGTTCTTCATAACCCGGTGGCGCACGTGGGGCACGGCGCTCGCGCCCCGTGTTCTCACCGCCGCCGCCCTAGTCCTGTTCGTCGTCCTCGTCGTCGCCGCCGGTACACAAGTTCGTTCCAGCCAGCAGTGCTGTCATGTCGTCCACCGCGTCCAATCGAAGAGCCTCTACCACCTCCTCGTCGTCCTCGATGGTAGCCCACCCCTGAATCGTGGCCACCGCTTCCCCCACGACCGGCTTTCCGGGTTCGATGTTGAGTTCTGCCAACAGTTCGCTGATCTCCTCGTCCACGACGCGGGATCCCTGCTTCTGCGCGTCCTGCACGCTCGTGCT